CACTGTATACACTGACACAGTAAAGGAACAAACATATTACTGTAAACATACTATTTAGAGACAGGAATGTAACTACCTGAAGAATTAACATCAGTAGGAGGTAAAGCTGTCTCTGTGAATGGAGGGGGTAGTGAATTTCATAATAAGCTCTATTAGCTTTTTTTAACGTATATATTTATTTCTTGAAAATAATGATTTCTTCTAAAAATTAGAACAATTCTTCAAAATATTTTTAAACTTCTCAAGGAAACAAATGATCTGGAATAAGTACATATGACATAACCATTATTTTTTATTTGACTTATATTTTAACTGAGCATTTAGCCGGAATCCCCAGTCTCCATGGGCCAGAGCTTCCTAGCGGCACCAGCACATTATCAGCAGAGCTTTCATCGCGACAGTGGAGCCAAGCCCAGCATGTGCACAAAAGACGGCGTGACTCAGGCTTTCCACACATGACTGCTGTAAAGGGGCCAGAACAATGGAGCCATTCATGCATAGACTAGGCTCCGCTCCACAGGTCCATCAGTAATTGATGGGGCTGTCTTCTGGCAAAGGGGGGAAGTCAGCACAGCCTAATTGCTCTGTCTCAAGATGTCTATATCCTTACCAGCCTTGCCCTCGGGTGAGTACTGGGGCTGCCAGATCATCTGCGAAATTGCCAGGGAGAGCTGAGGACGGTAGGCAAAGAAAGAAAACTCTTCAAGTCACCAGGTGCCGTTACAAATAAACTTACAAAGAAAACAGCAAATGCAAATTAATTATGTCATAGAAGACGCTGATTAATTTGAAAATACTGTTCTCAAGGATTCAATAAGCTATACTACTACATTTAAAACGTATTTTACTCCTAGTGTCAGAGAACTAGCACATCTATTAGCTATGATTCCGAAGGAACTAGGAGCAGAATCAAATTATATTTAAGAAGAATGAAGAATACTTCCAGGAAGAAAAAATAATTATTTTGATATATAAAAAACTTTTAAAATACTATAATGTAATACAGAGATTGGAAAAAATGATCCTAATTACATAAGAAATCCCTAACTACATATAAATTATGAATATAGTTAAAATGATATTGCTCCTCTGACACCAACTACTTATTGTTTTGTGAAATCAATACTCATGAGGATTCACGATGAACACATTAAAAGATGAAAAATACGCATCAGTAATTATCACATCAAATATGAAAATGATGCACAGAACTGTAAGTGA